TCATTCAAGAAACGCTTGGATGTTTATCTTGCTGGGGTCCTTTGACTCTAGCTGACTTCCTGCCCCTGGGGCAGGGGGCTGGACTTGATGATCTTCGAGGTCCTTTCCAGCCCTAACATCTATAAAGTCTATTAAATCTATGAGATGTGGTCCCTTGGCAGGCAGCAGACCTCCTGAGATGACAGATAAGGCTTCCTGATGGATACTTCCATCCTCTGCAGAAGAGAGTCACCAACTAGCCACCAAGTTTACTCTTGGTATCAGTGATCTTAATCCTCCCAGCCTGTGGAGCATGTGGTTTGGCCTTTTCTACACTGGGATAGATTTCTTCTCCTCCAATGTCAGGGCTTTGTACGTTTTATTCACCTGGATGGTTGGGGTTTCAGAAGAGGAATGTTGTCTGTTGCCACAGGTAACAAGCTGCCATTTCTATCTTGCCGGTTATCTAAGGCTTCATGATCCTGAAGGTCTGTTTGCACATCCTGTCAGTTAAGTCTTCATACACACAGATGCTTCAAAGCCATTTGAAATCATGTATCCGGTTCTGAGGTCAATACTTTAAAAAAAGATACTGAAGAGAATTTGGAAAAGGGATACAAGTAATATGTCATCTGAAAAGTGGGCTATTTTGAAGGCTAAAAAGAGATGCTATTTATTTAGCATATTATATAAGATCTAAAGTCTACTATTTCCTTAAGAGTGAGACGATAAATGATGAATTTAGCAGACAAAGGATGGAAGTGAAATCCTCAAAATTCAAACGGGAAATACAGTACAAGTTTGTAATAGTGAAGGTAATTACAGTTAGCAGACATTTCCAAGGTATGGTGAATCCTTTATCACTCCTTTATCTTTTTAAAAGGGTCTGATCCAGTTCAACCACAAGTTTAATTGAGTTAGATAGAAGAATCTTGAAGTAAAATTATATATAGTCCTGTGTTATGCAGGGAGTCAAGCTGAAACATCAGTTACTAAATTATGTATTGGTGATAATTTTCTTTCTTCCCAGGTTTACTGCGTGACTACCTAGGTACCTATGATGTAGCGTTCTACCTGGCTGGAGTTCCCCCCATTATTGGTGGCGCCATATTATGCTTCATTCCATGGGTACATGAAAAGAAAAAGCTAAAAGAAAAAGCAAAAACTGTTGATGGAGCAACAACTGAGAAAATGCTGGAAAATGACAGCACTTTGGTATCAGGCACAACAGAAAAGCCCAACAAGGAAATAGACTCTGTTATTTGATGCATTGTATCTTCTTACCAGGCTGAAGTTGTTTTTAAAGGAGCTAGATCATGTTTCTGACTTTAAGCAGAAAATCTATTATTATTTTTCAAAATTGGACATAGTGCTCAAATTGCAAAACTGCTAAGAGCTAAGCATCTTCTCCAGCACAGAATAGCTTTCTGGATGACACCTTGAGTCTGGTTTTAAGCCATGATTTCAAGGCATTTGAAGTTTTTTATAGCATCAGTGTGCATCTGCCAGTGATTCTGCGTGCGAACAGATTATTTTTTTAATCCATCAGGACATATTTCCAGAAGTGTGAAAGCTGTTTTTGATTCACTGACCCTTCCAGGATAGCTTTGGGAATTTTACAGTCCGTCCAATAAAGGAAAATTTCTTATATGGCTTATAAGAGGGCTGTTAGTAGCTCTTAGACTAAGTCCCCTCCCCCCATTTTTTCATTGCATTTTAAATACTTTTACAATCCTATAGTAATAAGCAGGAATATCTAGTGTTGTCATTTTCTATTCTTTCCTGAAATTATCTTGCTTTTGGAAGCTAAATTATTCTATTTCATTTTCTCTTAATACTTCTGTTCTATTTGCTTAAACTCATCCTAGACCACTTTTTCCATTGGTTCACCTTTTTTATAATCTGATCAGTAGACATTTTAGGATTATATCTGATTTGTACATGTATTGAGCATAAACAAGTGAATAAATTCAGCATTAAAGCAGCTGAAATATTGGTATCGTTAGTACCCAGGTACTACAGTTAATCAAGTCCTTCTTTGACGGTGCTGGAGTAGCTGGTAGTTTTAAAAATCTAGTTAACTGCAGTGCTTGGGTGCAGAAATGTGAATTAGATTAAATTTTAAATTTTGAATTTGTTTCTTTTTTTAGGGTTTCACTAGAAAATACTTAAAGACAGCTTTAAAGGATACATTTTAAGTGTGCAATAAGATTCAATTGTTCATACAGATAAATGGAAATATACATGAAATAGATATGAGTTATTTTAGCTACGTTAGACAATTTTGAAAGATTTTGCAGTTATGCAAATTAATTATAGACCTTTGTGTTTTTATTCAATTGCATGTAGGATACAACTTCCTATTTTCAAGAAATGCAAAAAATTGTCTTTGCAGGCACAATTCCTTAACATACTGGTTCACATCCTTTATTACTTGCACAGTCCTAAATTGGGTGTCAAACCCATATTTTTGAACACCTTTCTCTGAACGTTACTGCAGCTAATGGTTTGTCTGAAATAATATCTTAAGAGTGCGTCTGAATTTATCAGGATTACACTCGAACTGTGCTGCTTATGCAACGGAGTGCTTAAATAGATACTCATTTTACTAGGGCCACGTAATGCTACTTATGTAACAGCAAAGAAAATAAATATCTGGAAACTAAAAGCACATTCAAATACGATTTCTCACTTAGTTGTCAGTATCATTTGGATGTGTAATTCCTATTTAGGAGCACACCTTTTAAAAATGTAATCCTTACTGCCATTTCACTATTTTTAATTTAATTTCTTCATTTTTACCAAAGATTGTGAATTGCTCATACAACTTTATATTACTGTGAAGTGAAACATGTTATATTAGCAATATTTAGATTAAAAGATATATTTTTTTAAACCCCATTAAATAATTAGATAAGTATCTTAATTATTATGGGCCAGATTCTGTCATCCTACTTACATTGCTTAGTCCATATTAAAAATGAACAAGTCTCATCAGAGTCTAACTGAAACTGGAAATGGTAAAGTGACAATTCTCCCTTTTAAGATAGACCATTAGAAATGGCTGGGAAGTCTAGGAGCACAGATTCCCGTGACATGTAGTGGGATCAGTGCTCCTTAATCTCTTTTGCTTTTGAAAATCTAATTTCTAAAAAGTAAGTAATATTATTAGTTAAAATCCTCAAGAAATGATGCTTTCATTACAGAAATTACATTAGCAACCACATTATTTATGCTCTTGATTCTTCTTCCAGGTGATATTATTCAGTGTTGGGTATTGCACTGGCAATGAAATACACAGTGAAATTCATGATAAAATCCTCTTATTTCAGCTACTTTGGTTATGAAAATTAATATTTATCATACTGTTTATTATTTTAAAGGATTTTTTTGTGGTAAATTCAGGAGGCCCATTTAGCACTTGCTGTGCTCTGAACTCATGAGAGGCATCAGGTTGTGCTTGCCTTTCTACTTGGCACAATATTATAATAATATCTTTATAAATAATCTGAAAGAAAATAAAAGCCATTGCTGATAAATTCTGCAGATGACACAAAAATGGAGTGGCTACCATGTGGTACACCGGCCTTGTATGAGAAATATGTCAATACAGCCAAATACGAGGCAGGCATTTTAAGAAGAAAAAATGTAGCCTATATTTATAGGTTACAGTCTGTATTTTTTTAAATATCTTGGAGTGGGATGTGTTGTGTGGTGCATAATCAAAAGAGTTAATGCAATCTTGAAATGTATGAGGAGTGAACTACAGAATACAAGTCAGAACATGGCATTGATTAGTGTGATCATCAGTTGAATGCTATGTCCAGTTCGGGTTTCAACATTTGAAAAAGGATGTTGAAAAATTAAATGCTGAAGTAAAACTTCAGAAAAAGCAAAGATGACTTGAGGTTTGGGAAAAGTGTCTTATAGTGAAAGACTTAAAAAAAATCTAAAACTAATTAAGACAAGATACTGACATAGGGAGATTTTCAGTAAGAGACATTTCTTCAGTCTAGCATAACGGCACAACAAGGTCCTGTTTGGAGTTACATAAATTTAGAATAAAAATAAGATGCAGAGGGTAACTGCGAAGAACAGCTTACTCAGAAATGGAAATTTCTTTGTTACCCAGTCTTTAATTGAGATGGGTTGTCTGTCTTTCTAAAAAAAAAAATAATTATCCGGTTCTGTCAGAAGTAATGCTGGCTGAAACTATCTTGTGTTTAGTTACAGACTAAATTATTATAATGGTCTTTTCTAGTCTTAAGATCTATTTAAATAATTTATGTTTCATATCAAGATTTATGTCTTCATCCCAAAGTTTCAATGTGGTGTTGATGCATCGCAAGTAATGCCATATAAAAAGTATCTGCTTGCTAGTTACGGTGCAGATGCAAATGTCTTGTTTCTTCTAAAAGATTTTTTTAATTTAAAATATTTCATCCACTTTATGAGGGAACAGATATAATATTAAGGCTTTTCCTCGTCAAAATTAAGCAGTTTTGACAGGCTAGAAAATTAAAGCATCTGAAAAAATAATTAACTTCAATTTGGCAGAAGTCATTTCTGAATCAGGAAATGGTAACTTCCATAGACAAGTAATCCTGCTCTGCTTCTCATAGCTGATTCAACCTTACCTCCACGTCTCTACCTCCCCACCTACCTCCCATTTCCCAGAAATATTTTCAGGAAAGGTCCTAGGAGCAGTTTGGAGAGAGGGATTAGTTTAGAAGGTGGAGTGCCGGTTTCCTAGTGTGTGAACAGTATCAGCTCAAATGCTTTACCCTTCTGTGTAGTACGCTGAGTCTTGAAAAGCTCAGTCCGAGCAAGCTGTATGCAAACATTTCACATGGCTTATTGACATTTTCTTTTTAGGTTCTTATGTGGTCCTTGTCTCTGTGATATCTGAATAATATATCCTGCATTGCTAAGGGATATGAACATACTTAGAGCTGTGTTATACAGCTGTGTATACAAGAATACATAAGTATAATAAATTGAAACCAGGGCTGACAGTTAAACTCATGCTAGTTATGCATTGCAGGTAGGACTCAAGATTCTGCTAGAGTCCATTGACACTATTTGGCTCTGTATGTTGTAGCCATATAAACTTATATAGAGCAGACTGGAAGTCTTTTCTACCAAAAGTCCTTTTGAGTCTGGTCTACACTGACCAGCCAGAAATTTGCTTAATATACTTGTGGTCACCATCTGAACAGCTCCCTAAGGTGTTCAGTGCAGTCAAAGACAGCTTAGATAGCCATGGATTCACTTGTGTGATCCACTTTTTGAAGATGTGTGTGGTACAGTGAACAATGGCAACCTTCTCTTTTTCTGTCTTTCGATCACTGGAGCACAAGATCTGGGCATACACATCAATAATGCCGATCTGAAATTCTTGATCTCAGATAGCTGGTGATCTCAGTGTTGGGCTGTTAATTTTGGCTTACAGAAGTCACTCTGAACACTAGGCACTCATGGCTAGATCCAAAAAATGATACAGGTAGAAATGAGGTGGCAGACTCCAACAATGCAATCCTGAAAAACCCCTACTGAGCTACCATCTAACCCTGAAGGCATTCCAGAGGTTCCATGCAGCACTTTATGACTTTAAAGTTTCTTACTTGCCCGAAAGTTCAACTTTTACACTTGTACGAAAGAGCCTCAATTGGACAAAGCTGGGCAGTTCAGCTGCAAGCTGAACCTTCATTGTGTCCCAAAACTTAGACATTACTATGACTAAAAGACCTGAGGAGGTATTTCATGCATTTGAATGTTTGTCTAACTTTACCCCAACTAAATAGGTGGTCAAATAAAAGATATCACCCTAAGAGATCCTTGCCTTGCATAAGGATTTTAGCTAATAGCTGTTTCCTGTAAAATACAGTGCTGGAAGTAAGGATTAAAACCCAGATCCACACACACCCACACCCAGTCCCTCACCCAGATACACACACGTGCACCTTAAACACTAAACTAGTCATGCTCCCTCTGGCCCCAGGCACCTTGAATTCCTTGTGAGACAACTTCAACAGCAGAGTAGCAAGTGCACCTATCCCCCAGGAACAGCTGATAGTTTTGAGTGCAGCACTCCCCTGAGGGAAGTGAACTTGGATTCCCTGCAAGTGCTCTAATAATAATGATAAAAATGACAGTAGCAGCCCTTACACAATCTAGAGGGCACCATGTTCTTAAAAGAAAGGAGCACTCAAGTTTATTGGAAGAAATGGCCCTGGTGTTTACTTTCAGAAGGGCTATAGGTCTCAAGGAGATTATGGAGCCCTGAATTAGGTGTCTGGGAACAGGATTTAAGATCGATCCCTCCCTATGGTCTTTTCTTTTTAGATGGCGCTAGGCATGTGGGCAGTTAATGTGCTCACATGAGGGAGCCGTCTGATCAGCACGCTGGCCCCACTCTAGGTGCCTGTGCTCTGTACATGATGAGTCCAGGTGCCGCGTGCTAGGTTCTGGATTCCATCATAGGGGCCAGACACCCAAATATTGGGGTTGGTAGCTAGAAATTAGGTGCTGCAGTGTTCTCTATTGGAACTGGCCTTCCAATACTACAGAGCTAGGCATGATATAAGAACCCAAATAGAATATATTTTCACTAAGGATTATGTAAGTTCTGTCTCTGGTTCCACAATCAGGTACAGCATCTGTGGCAGAAGTGTGAAAGAAAATTTAAAAACAATATTTAAAAAAAAAAAAAGGAATTATTGTCCTTAGCTTTTAATTTTGACAAGTGTTACACCATTCAATTCTAGAGAGAGTTATAAAGTCAGGGCAACATTTTTAATACATGCTTTATTCTTTTTATATGTGAAAGGAGTCACCATTTTTAAGAATTTCGGAAATATGGATATTAAGTTTAGGCCTTCTATATTTTATACTAAAATGTGTGCTAATATAGATGACACTGACAAGTGTTTGGGTGTCTTTATAGACACTGTATTTTATATGTTCGTTTTTATGCTAATTAATGTTCACATTGCTAGCCTTAACTCCATGCTTTCTAAATCTGCTTTTTTTTAGAAGCATAAAGAATGAATGTCTAATGTTAATTCATGGTGCTAAAATAATTGTAATCCATCTCTAATTACTCAAAATAAACAAGCATAGTTCAAAAGTGGTTCTGTTTGCTATTGTGAATGTCATATTGTAGAGCTTGGTGTCCTTAAAATCTCCTTTTGTTCTTTAAGTCACTTTCTGCTCTGTTGTGGTGTTGCTGTTCTGTCTTGTGTCCTCTGAATGTAAAAAGCAAAACAATCCACACTGCTTTTACTTACCTATTTACAATTGTATTTTTGTTGTATATGCTCCATTTAACTCATATTTACACTTAATTTAAATATATGGGGCAAATTGACTTGTCCTTTCACAGCATCTGATGAAGTAAGCTTCAGCTCATGGAAGCTTGTGACAGACACAGACAGATTAACCAAAAGTAAGTGTGTAAGGTGCAAATCTACCCTGCCTTCTGCTTATTCTAATTATGCCAGATAAACATTTTAAAATTATTTAAGTGATTTAGGACCTGAAGCTTTTGACTTTTAATGCTACTTAGGGACTTTAGAATTAATATGGTCCCTTCTAGGATTGAATAGAAATTTTAATCGATAGAAATGAATTGCTAGACTACTGTCCCATGGCATGAAAAATACCCCTTCCCATATGCAGATACAGTACAGCAGAGAACTATAAATTTCACGTACAAGAATTTGCCCTGGAATCCTCTTATATCCCCAGTTTTTGTCATGACTGTAATCATTTCAAACAATGTTTAACTTTCATGGTTAGGAGGAGGACATTAACAATATGAAACAAGTGTAAAAACAAAGTAGTGTTCTCTTCAGGAGCCTCTAGATCAGGGGCAGGCAATTATTTTGGCTTGAGGACTACTTTACCAGTTTTGGTGAGCTGTTGAGGGCCACACGGGTAGCCCATTCCTCGACAGCTGTCCTGCCCCCTGGTTGCCATCTTGAAACCGGAAGTCCTGCCCCCTAACCCCTGATCTTTGCCACCGGAAGTCCCTCTCCTTCCCCCTTGGACTCCTTTTGGGAGGGGGAGATTTAGAACCAGAAAAAAAAACAATAAATCATACACTACAAGTGAAACACCTACTATAACATTTTAATTTTATTGCAAAAAATATTTTTTCATGATTTGTGTTTGCGTAGTGTATATAGAGGTGATTGCATAATACCTAAAAAAAAATAAAGTCTTAGTCTTGCATATTGTGTGGGGGATGTGGGGGGTAGGAGGGGGTGTGTGTGGTGTGTGTATGTATGGTGGGGGGTTGTGAGGAGGTGACTGTGTGTGCGTGTGGGGCATTTACCTTTTACAGCATTGCTCCACGCCATGCATGTGCAATTGCCGCAGTCGCGTGTCACCGGAGGAAAGCCCCGTGTGCTGGAGCTGGCTGCCTTCTTTGCCCCCTGCCGTGCAGGTCCCGGGACTCTCCTCCACTTCCGAAGGACTTTGCCACAGGACAAGGTGTCTGGAGAGGAAGATTACATACTATAAGTTTGCTTGTGCAGTGTTGCTTTTCAATAGGGCTGTGCGAAGCTTTGGCCTCCAATTTGATTCAGTGGAGATTTGGCCCGATTCGATGGCCAAATCTCTGAATCAAATCAGGAGACCCATTAATCTCTCCAAATCGAATCAGAACCCTCCGAATCAATTCGGAGAGATTCAGAAAGATTCGGCGATTCAGACATAACACACAGCTTTAAATGTTTTTTCTGCATACCTCTAGGTAGCAGGCGGCTTGGGAATGCTGTGATGCTGGTGTGCATGGAGTGTCCCACAGAAGCACAGGGGATTCCCCAGCACACTTGGCAGCAGACCCAGAAGTGGACCAGAAGCACTTCAGGTCCACTTCTGGGTCTGCCAGAGAGCGTGCAGGGGGGACCCCCTGGCTCAGCAATTGGTGCCTCCTGGGTCTGAGGGGGCACCTGGGGACCCCCTGTGGCTGACTGTTGAGCTGGGAAGGCACGGGGGGGCCTCCCTCATGCTCCCTGGCAGCCCCGGAAGTGGACTGGAAGTATTTCCAGTCCGCTTCCAGGTTTGCCACCGAGCATGCAGGGCACCCCCCCCACTCTTGTGGGATGCTCCATCCGCCCCAGCATCACAGCATTCACGAGCCATGCTGGTACCTTGAGGTATGTAGAAAAAGCATTTAAAGCTGTGTCCAAATCGCTGATTCTCTGAATCAGCATTGAATTTTCAGATTTGGATTCGGCTGAATCGAATTGGGAATTGTGATTCAAATCAACTAACTGAATTACAGTCCCCGATTCAGGCCGAATCCGAATTGAATAGGGCCCGTTTTGCACACTTCTACTTTTCAAGGACAGCTTCAAATATTCCCCCATACCAAAGAGCATTTCTTTCCTGCACTGCACTAGTAGTTCCATTTTTTTCAATCCACTTGTATGCGTAGTAAATCTCCAGAACAGCCCTTGTTAATTTGACATCAGAAACTAATTACATAAAAGCAGCACAGCAGTTATTGAACTATTTTTTAGCCAGAGATCTGTTGTCCTTAAAGAATGTGAATAGAACCTTTTTTTTTTTAATCTTGGAAGTTATACAGCATCTTTCTTGATCACCACAAATGCCTGTTTATTAAACGTGTACAATATTTTGTTTTCAATATGGCTGTGGGCAGCACAATCATTTTGTGTGGCATTGTTAGATGATGACTGCTAAATTTAATGCAGAAGAAAGTTTCTTCTTATTTCCAAAATGTAGAAATATTGTACTGTTAGGCAGTTAATACATGTTTAGTTTGAAATGCATATTGATTTTAATTAAATCATTTGTACATAAAATCAATTTTGTTTGAAGGATTCATTATCACATCACTATCACTTCCTGTAAGGTTTCAGAAATATGGGGCAGAAGTCTAATTGTCTGAACTGCGCTGGTTAGGTAATACTTTCTAAATAGCTACATGCAAACTGACTGTGAATAGCCAGGTGACATTTTTAGATGCTTAATGGCTGTAGCTGCATATGCTTGTTCTTGTTTCCTCACATCGTCTTGAGCGAGGCTGCACCTGCTGGGACCTTGAGTGGGTGCAGGATTATGTTGCTAGTCTGGGACTGTGAACTAGCTGTGTTGCAGAGCTACAGCACAGACTTCTGTACTGAGTAACTCCAGGGCTTCAAAAATAACTAGCTCCCTGGGAGTTCTCATCCTGATAGCAGCATAATACATTTTTAAAAATAGTAAATACTCTGAAAGCCAGCTTTTGCAACCCCTCTGCATGCTGAGTAGTGTCTTACTCCACAAGAGGTCTCATAAATAATAATGTTGGCAAAGCTAGCCTGTGACTCAGTAGCTAGCTCTTTGACAGGGTAGTTCAAATAAAATCCTGTTTCAAGTATAAAGAGTGGGGGAAAAATCATTAGATACATTTTTGGAAGTGTTGTCACCCCTTAATGACACATCAAAAGTTAACTAACATGGTGACTGAGTAATTCTTGCCCTACTACGGGTTACAAGAATCTTTTTTTTAACAGCCTGTCAACCAGTGTTGGCCTACATGCTTGAAAAATGTGGGAGAGTAAACTCTTCAGGCGGTGGCTATCATAATGTTTTGTTTGGAAAGGATAATGCCAGTAAAGAAATCCATTGTTATATTGCCAGGGCCACTGGGAAAGGAATTTGATCCATGTATGAAAGGAAGGCTTTTTTCCCTTTCCCTTCAGTGTGTGCTAACTGCATGTCTAGGACCCGGGATGTTCATTCAAGATCTTTTGACAGATAACCTGCTCATCTCCTTCCTACTCGACCATGGGGCAACTCATTCAGTTCTAGCACAGATTTAAAACTTTATTAGAAAATGTTAAAAGTTATGGTTTTTTTACATGGATTTGTAGAGTTTGGGGATAATATAGGGCCCTGTGCATGGGTATGTAGATGGTGTCAATGCAATTTAAGACAAGCAGTCAGTCATGCTGCCTACATTAGCCCAGGATACAGGGGTTAAGAAGTTCCAGTGCCTATTCAATACAGTTGTAAGGTAGTAAGAACTTCTTAGGCAATGGTTTTAGCATGTGGTGTGCAATGGCTGGGGTGGGGAACAGTCAAAGGGATTAAAGGTATGTCAGTTAATGGTGTGTGCAGGAGGGGTTCAGTCTTGCTTCTGACTGGTGGTTTTGGGCAGCTGTCTTCATATTAGCAATGACCTGTGATGTACTTGATGTAGATGAGGTGCTGCATGGTATCCAGTACCATCCAGTGGTAAGGGACAGCTGTTTCATGCAGTGGTGCATGTGAGCCTGCACTTTGCAGGCTCACAAGATGCTCTTGTTACTTGGGCTCCAAGAACCCCAGTGCTCAGCACCTGCACTGCCACATTGTTCCCTTTCTCCCTCAGGCTGTCAGCTGCTGCCCTGGGCTTCTCTGAAAGCCTGGACATAGGCATATGCATTACTAGGGGTGTACTTAAATCATGGTTTCACAGATTGTGTGGAAACCACAACATCCGGGATTGTCTGCAAAATCAACAAAAACAGATAAAAAGCTAGCTCCCCAGTGGGAACTAGCAGTCCTCGCTGTGTTGCTGCCCAGCCTTGCAGCTTGCCCAGGAGGAGAAGGCACCTGAAGGAAAAGGCATGGAGGGCAGCAGAAAAAAATGGCTGTCACCCCCTTGTCCCTCCTCCTTCCCCCTCCAAAGTCTCTTCACCAGTCAGCATTGAGGGACAGAGCTCCATGAAGGGCAGCCAACCATGAAGACAGTGGCTGCCCCCTCATCCCTCCTGCCCACTGGGGCCTCTCCACCAATCAGTGCTGAGGGGCTGGGCTGCCAAAGCACATCTGCAAAATGTCTGCAGAATTTACTCATGCTGCATCCAACCCATGAAAAGTGGTAAGTCTAACTACAATTTAAGCAGACCCCTATGCATTACATATGCATCAGCAGGGATGCCAGAGGCATGAGGCTAGAAGGAGAGCAAGTAAAAAAAGAGCACAGAGGGAGCCTGCCTTCACCCATGGGGGGGGCGGGAGGGGTGTCCATTTTCTCTTTGCCCAGGGCCGCAATAAATTTTAATCCACCACTGGGCTGTACTAGCTGTTTGCCAAATCCCTTGATTTCAGTATCAAAAGCAATGCTTAAGT